TCAGTAGTAGTAGTAGTAGAAACAGTAGTAGCCGTATCAGTCTCGGCCTCCTTAGGCCTGTCTCCACACCTACTATGGGTGAGTGAGGGTAAATGGTACAGTAGTACCAGCGCAAAAAGCTACTGTCACTTAAGACTAAGTTAGGCGATGTTTCGGCTTGCATTGGAGAAAGCAGCTTACGCCGCGACTGCGGGAGAAGGTGAAGAGTGCGGAGCCGATAATCACGTCCTCTATTACTTTAAAGCTAACCCCTGTGGCCGTTACCTTCTGCACCAACCTGTTGGTGCACTTGGTGGACTTCATCGAAATCGATGGGCGAAAACTTACTCTGTTTATATGGGTGACAGTTGACCCCCCCCTTATCCTCGTCCCTTCACCTCTTGATGGTTCGATCATCGATTTTTATGAAGTCCGCCATATGCATCAACAGGTTGGTACAGTGATGGTGACTGGCTACAAGGGGAGTTTAAAGTAACAGCAGACGTAGTTAGCGCCAACCGCACTCCTCGCATCCACCATTGGTCGAGAAGACCAGATTGGATTCGGCGTTGGCCGCTTTCTCCAATGCAATTCAGAATACACCACTTAACTTAATGTTAAATGACAATAGGCTTTGCGCGGGTACTACCGCACTGTCTACCCTCACTCACCTTCAGTAGATGTCAAGACAGGCTCCAAAAGGCTGTGACCGATACGGCTACTCCTATTTCTATTCCTATTAGCTAGCAATGTAGCTGTTCGTTAGTTGTACTGGTACTAACACTGACGTTACCATTAGTCAGAAGTGGCGCTAATTAAAGTCACTGCCAGGTTCATATTCCCTCAATCTAGGATTATGTTATCCTGCTTTAAGCCCGTAGCACAACAGGGCTTATTTTGGTTTCCGCACTCTCACCTCTGTCCACCAAAAGTTCTGTCACATTTTACTAAGTGTAGTCTTAGATACTACTACTAGAGGTAATATGCCACCGTTAAGAGTGCTTATTCTAGTAATCATACTTACTAATCCCAGCGGATAATATATTCTAGTAATATGCAAGAAAATTCGAGGTCCAGATAAAATATTCCTTACATCATCCCCAGAAGAGGAAGAAGAAGTAGAGACGATTTCTGGGACCAAAGTGTATTCTGGCTGACGTTTCAAAAGCTCGCTCGCTTCCATCGTCAGAACAAGGTGTCTGTATTCCTGTTCGTGTCAGATAAATGTGAACGACCATTCGCCCGTGTGTCAATCGATTGCACCGATCGATTTTTGTGGCTGTTTGAATTGCTCGCGTTTTCTTGAGCTGTGTCAAGTCGTTTTTGTGACTCGTGAGCGTTTCCACCCTCTTTGCTCGCGGCTGCCAGCTGTTGGCCCTGCTTATCTCTCTCCGTTCGACCTATTGCTCCGTTCTGAGCTGATCTTAGCCTTTTGCGGAGCGCTTGGTAGGCGGGATGAAGGTCCATGGCTCTGTTAAGTGCGCCAGTTGAAGACCAACTTTCTAGCGGCAATCTGGCCATCTTGTCGTTGGCTCGGCCTGCTAACCTTGCTTTTTCAAAGGCGAACGTGTGTTTCTTCTGCTTTACGTGGTCATGGACCAGTTCACCATGGAAGAGGAGGTCAATAATCGATTACCGTTCCTCTTCTAGATATGATGTAAGGAATAGTATATTCTTATAATATATTCCTATAATTTTATCAACACTTGACATGCATCCTATTATTGCAACAAGCATAACAGATAGGAGTATGAGCTTACGCGCGTCCTAGACTTCACCTGGGCTGATTTGTAAGATATTCGGGCGAACGTTCACGTCCGGTAGGTAAGACAGACTGCCTACTTTTGTACTCCGATCGTCTAGGCAATAGTTGAGTTACCTTCTCCCCCCTTCACCTCTTAGTCCACAACCGAAGGCCTATTCCGAGGGTGGATTCGACGATTTCATTCTCTACGACAAGGTGCCTGAGTCGAACGACGTCAGTGATCGATCCTCCGTTCAGGACGGTGGGAGTGTTAGTGGTGGTGGTGGTGGCAGTTCTACGCGAAAATTGGGCTCGCAAATGGTACGCTGCTGCCTCTTTTAAGTGCTTATTTTTCGTCTGCTCTTTCAAATAAATAATTTATTCATGCCGCCTCTCGCAAACCCCTCTTCTCCCACATAAGCTGCGGGGCTTAATGTATGGCCCCATTCAATTGCCGGAGCAGCTCCTCGAACGCAGTCGACGAGCGGTACCAACGGTACGCTTAGCTTGTTAGAAAGCCCTCCTTCACCCCTTCGTCCCCTCCCCCCCCATGTCTCCG